CTTAGATGAAACTCGAGCCATTAAAACTGGTTTAAAAGCAACAGCAACAGCAACACACCACTGCAAACATTTTACAGTTCTGAGTATATTAGTTACTTTCCCTATCATTCTGACAAAATAGCAGGCAGGATACAACTTAAGGGCAAAAGGATTGATTTAGGTCAACGCTTCAGACAGTTTGGCCCGCAGTCCCTTGGCCCCACGGGCTTAGGCGGAATACCACGGTGGCCAGGACATGAGGTAGAGGCTGTTTTTCACTTCTTGTTGGGTAAGAGGAAGAGGGTATGACAGGAGGGTGTGACAGGATGAACATCTTCAAGGAACTGTTCCCAGGCTCCTTCCCTTGCAGCTTCGTCTCCTGTTCTAAACGTCTACCACTTCACGAGATAGTTCACCTACTCCTCAAGTGTGCGGAACATGACCCTGTGTGTACTTCCACATTGCACTATAACACGTGAGGGGCACAAAGTCCCGGAGATGTTGGTCTCTGGAGGGTGGAGGGGAGGGCAGCTGCTTGCACCTCCCGTTCACGAAAGGAAAGGAGTCACAGAACGGTGACAGTGCCAGCATTAACACAGGTGGCGACCGATACTGAACTAACACAACGACAAATGTGAAGTTATAGAATTTACCACAGGAAATATGGCAAGTACATAACAAAGAAAACGGAGAGCGACGGGTAGGTTGCTGCACGGTCTCTGCCCCAAATTCACATGTCCCCATCAAAAAAGCCACATGCTACATTAGATTTGGAATTTTAAGTGTGATTATTAAAGAAAAGAATCAAGAGTAACTTCATAGTCTAAGGATAAAGTAAATAAGGTGAATGCAAATGAAAAGATCTCTGAGCACTGTGTTCACAGTTAGAAGAGATAAAAATATCCACTTGAAGGTCTCAGCCCGAAGCCGCCTAAGACAGTTCTGCAGACACAGGCAACAAAATGTGACTTGCTGTGGCTAGACTCCAGTGGGCTCCCTCCATTCAGTGTACCTCTTGCTCCTTAGGATGGAGGAGGGGAACCGGCTTTCTTAAAAACAAACAAAAGAAAAACTGCATCAGAGTTGGCTTGGTCAGTCTGTCATCACTTACTATTTGCTATACTTTGTCTCGTTTTCCCCGATTTTCTTATTTCCCTGGTGTCAGTGCAGTAGGATTCAGCTCATAGAGAGAGGCAACCTAGAAGACAGTTCATCTCCTGGGGAGTGTCCAGGAAACTGAGCATCTCTACTCCGTAGGGTCTTTCAGGATCTCAGCCTCCTTCTTTAGGGAATGTTCTCCTTGTTCGCTTTTCAGGTTCAAGAGAAAGGGCACTGAGTCGAGTTGACCTTTGGCAAGAGTTTTCAAAGGCAGCATGATGCAGTAAGGGTCTGGAGAAAGAAGTTTCAGGCTCTTCTAGGGAGAACAGAGCCTGTTCCTTTAAGGTCCCTGTTGGGGGGGAGTGAAGAGGAAGGGCTGTATCTCAAGGAACTGGGTCCAAGGTCAGCTGATATCACCTAACTGGATTCCGTTTCTTATATTTCTGGCATAAACAAGTGCTTGAAAGTCTGAAGGACATTTCTGGACAAGGGTTTCTTGAAGAACGAAGGGCCTAGTTAGTACGTGATAGGACAGTGGTCCTGTCTTACATGCAGTCCTCTGTTTAGGGCTTTGCTACCCGGAGGGGCCCTTTACCAGGGAGGGAATGACTAACTCCCTGCCTATGTGCTTTGACACTCCCGACACTCCTGTCTGTAGAAGTACCTGTATCTCAGTTATGAGAGAGGGGGGAGGGAGGGAGAGAGAGAGAGAGAGAGAGAGAGAGAGAGAGAGAGAGAGAGAGAGAGAGAGAGAGCAGGCCAAGGCAGAAGTTCCCAACATGCAGATGGGACACAGAGAGGCAGCTGTCACAGTCAATCATGTCTTATTGGTGAGGTGCAGGCACAGGACACCTACAATGTTGGCAACCTGTGTGAGAGGGGCTGGTTGCAAGTTGTGGGGTGGGGAGGCAGGGGTGGTCAGAGGCCATCGCTTGAACTAACCATAGTGTCAGTCATTGTGTGGGTTACGTGTGGAGAGAGGACATTTTGAAGAACCGTGCTATTAGTATTTCCAGTCAGATGGCAGAACCTGTTTAGCCCAGCCTTTTCTAATCATCTCACGCCCCCTGCTGGATCATTCACACAGACCCTATGTCTCCTCTGAACTTGAAACTACTCACATCCAGTTCAGCCCACTCAGCATCCTACTGCACTGAGTGAATGCTATTATTCACCAATGTTAGAACAGAGTCAATTCTCCCCAGAGTGGACCTTCAGCTCCCAAAGAGTAGAGTCTGTGTCTGGAATTCTCCACCTCTGCCCGTGGCTTATGCCACAGCTTTGCTCCAGCTGGTTCAGTCGGTGAGAAGTGGCTCAGGATGAAGAAGGCTGGACATGGAACCTTTGACTCTACCACTGCTCACCTGTTGCCTGATGCTCCCTGTTCAGATTCATTAATGAGCTTTCTAAAAGAGAGCCTTTGGGAAGCCAGAGGACCTCTGCTTCTCAGCCTTAATTACTCCCCAACTTCACAGAAATAGTCAAATATTTACTTGTTCCTCTGCCTCCCCAGTGAGCTAATTTTTGACTTCATGACCCTGAGCCCCCTGAGTTGTATATACGTGTTCCTGTCATGTGCACACATGTATGCAGAGGTGCAAAGTTGACATGTGGTGTCTTCATCAACACCTTCCTATGTGAGTTTTGAGGCTGCTCTCTCACAAATCCTAGAGACTGCTGAATCAGGTAGACAGCATCAGGAAACCTGCTGGAAACTTTTGTCTCTGCCTCCCTAGCATTGGGGTTTATAAGTGTCTGCCACCATGACAAACTTTTTCATATGGGTTATTCCATTGACTGGAAAATATAAATGAGGCCATTCCCCTGCCCCTAGAATATGTTTTTAAATTCATTTTAAATTCTGTTTTTAAAAATCATTTATGTTGACAGACATTGGTGGTGCACTCCTTTAATTCCAGCACTCAGGAGGCAGAGGCAGGAGGATCTCTATGAGTTCGAGGCCAGCCTGATCTACAGAGCTAATTCCTGGACAGGCTCCAAAGCAATGCAGAGAAACCCAATCTTGCAAAACAAAAAACAAAACAAAACAACAAAAACCCAAACAAACAAAAAAAAATCACTGATGCTAAGAACCTGAAAAAAGGAGGCTTGGCTCTCAGGTAACATTGGTGGATTTTGTCTTTGAGTTTTAACCAGAGGTGCCACAATTACTTGAAAGACATTTGAGCTACCCTCTTGAATGCAAACGCACATGAGGCAGAGCATGAGCTCAGGCTGAAGCCAGTGAGCTGGGCAGCTGAGAGTTTGATGCTTAGGTACTTGTATCCTCTGCAGAGCCCTTCAAGGTCCTCTCTGGACAGAATCCTGTTGTCCCTTAGAATCAGGGGAGGCGTCTGGTTCTTCCTGGCCACTGTTCTGTTAAGTTCAGGGTTCTATCCATAGTGGTGGGAACCTTTCAATTTCACAAGCCCTCTGTCTCTGATTCTTGGATTTAGCTCACAGATATGGCCAAAGTACTCATTCACTTATATAGTCCCTAGCTTGATGACCAAAGGGAGGGTCCAGGTGGTGATTGAACGAGATGACCCCTACAGGCTCATATGTTTGAGTCCTTGGTCCCAGTCACTGAAACCGGTTGGGAAGGGTTAGGAGGTGTGGCCTTGCTGGAGGAGGTGTGTCACTGGGAGCCGGCTTTGAGATTTCAAAAGCTCCTACCATTCCTATTAGCTCTCTCTCTGCCTCCTGCTTTTGATCAGATGTAAGCTGTCAGCTACTGCTCCAGCACCATGCCTGGCTGTCTGCATTCCTGCTGCCATGCCCCTCACCACGACGGCCATGGACTCTCCCTCTGAAACGGTAAACTCTCATTAAATGCTCTCCTATAAATTTCTGTCTCAGGGTTTACATTACTGTAAAGAGACACAATGACCACAACATTATGGGGCTTGGGGGGGGGGCTCGCTTACAGTTTCAGAGGCTCAGTCCATCTTCATCATGGCGGGCAGCATAGCCTCGTGCGGGTAGATGTGGTTCTGGAGTTGAGAGTGCTACATCTTGATGACTCAGGGGCAACAGAAAGTCGACTGATGATCAAATTGAGTGGAGCTTGAGAAAAGAGACCTCGAAGCCCACCCCCCACAGTGACACACTTCGTCCAACAAGGCCACACCCCCTAATAGGGCCACTCCCTTTGGGGGACATTTTCTTTCAAACCATCACAGTTGCCTTGGTCATGGTGTTTGTCACAGCAATAGGAAAGTAACTCAGACAGCCCCCAATCTCCCCACCTCACACACACCACCACCACCAAAAAAAGACACAGAACCGGTTGCTCTCCTGTTTGGCCCCGTTCGGGGTCGATCCCATTTCACTGCTGTATGCCTCCAGGTTGTGTAGACAATAGAGCCTGGAGTTTGTTAGACTGGCAGAGTCCTTTCTTCCAGTAACGGGTACAGGAATAGACTCTCGGGTTAAGAGAATGCCTTTTTATCCATACTCTGAGGTCTGAGCCTCCCTGAGAGACAATTCCCACAGTCTAGGTGTGAAAAACCATCTACAAGGAAAGGACTTGTGTGTGTGTGTGTGTGTGTGTGTGTGTGTGTGTGTGTGTGTGTGTGTGTGTGTGTGAGAACAGGTCATAGCTGGCCTGTCTTCAGGGTTACCGCTAACTTCCTGAGGATCCAGCAGGGGGCAGACGGGAGCAGGCCTGCCAATCATTGCCTTTGGTATCTGAAAACTCAGCCCCGCCTCCGGATTATGGCCCCTGGGTTTGGATTGGCTTTGACTCCCACATTCATGCCGGGTTGGGCTCTATGGTTGGGGACGGAAGAGGGTGGTGGCTCATTTAGGAGCGGGGGGGGGGGGGGGGGCGGGGGGGGGCGGAGCAGCTCCGGAGCTGCTCAGACTCCATGCTGTGCACCGCTTCTGCCCGAGGCCTCTTGTAGACTGGCCTGACTGCACTCTCCAAGGCTGGGACAGAAATCATGCCCGTGACTCTGGGTTATTGGGATATCCGTGGAGTGAGTGAAAGGCTGGGTCCCCAGGTGGGAAGAGCCCAGGGTCAGAACACAAAGGAAGATTCCCAACAGGTTTCTTGAGCCCTGTCTCTGTCAGAACCACCCTGCCCAGTCTCTCTTCACTTCTTGTTGCCCTCCCTCTCACCCACCTCTCTTCTTAGTAGAAGGTGGGGAGACTTTCCTAGAGGAGGTGAAGTCACACATCTAGGATCTCACTAACTGTGACTTTTGTTACCGGCCATTTCTCTCAGCTGGGCCACGCCATCCGCCTGCTCCTGGAATACACAGAGACAAGCTATGAAGAGAAGAGATACACCATGGGCGACGGTAATGACACCCTTTTTCAGTCAGATTCTTCCCCAGAGGCTTCTGCCTGGTTCCCTGGTTCTCAGCTCTTTGGCTCTCCTCCAGTTGAACCCAGAGCAAATACCTTCTAGAAACCTCTTTTAGGGTGCATCTTTCTTTTTCAACGCAGAACCTTGGTTGTGGTATGCTGGCCTTTTTCTGGCTGTAACTGGCTGAGGTTCGCCCAGTACTGGCCTAGTGCTTCTGTAAGCCTTAGTCATGGAAGGCCTACAGCAATTAAGGCACTATTCTAGTGCACGGCTTTGGGATAGAAGATTTACTGGGTCACACCTTATATTCCCTGCACAAGGGGTCATGCCCTCGACTCTTAGGGAGGTTTGGGGAAAGGAGGCTTAGACCCAGGCAATCTCTTTTCACACCATCTTATCTACAGCTCCTGATTATGACCGGAGCCAGTGGCTGAATGAGAAGTTCAAGCTGGGCCTGGACTTCCCCAATGTAGGCACAGGGAAGGGGAGGTCTGGGGAGGGCATGGCGTCCTCACCTCATCTCCTCGCCTGGCTGAGGGGGTTTGGGATCAGAGCTTCAGCTCTCCTGCTCCCATTCCTGGTGGCTGCACGGTGTCCTGTGATGGGCTGTGTCCCAGCTCTTCATGGCATCTGTTCGAGCTCTCCTATTCAGTGTGTTCGTAGGGGGCTCACTGTGCCAGGCACTCTGAGTGCCAAGCCCTGTTCTTATCAGGGCAGGGATGCACAGACCCTTCAACACATCTGACTATCCCTACTTGTCCATCCAGCTGCCCTACTTAATTGATGGGCCCCACAAGGTCACCCAGAGCAACGCCATCCTGCGCTACCTTGGCCGCAAGCACAACCTGTGTGAGTGGGGCTGGCTGCAGTGGGGTGTGGTGATCACCTCCCTGGGATTGGCTGGGGTGGGATGCTGAGGATGAGTCTCTGCCGTGTGTGCTGCAGGTGGGGAGACAGAGGAGGAGAGGATTCGTGTGGACATTGTGGAGAAACAGGTTATGGACACCCGCATTCAGATGGGCACACTCTGTTACAGCCCTGACTTTGTGAGTCCCTTCTGTATGGCATAGACCCGCTTTGTAGGAAGCATTAATGCTTGTGTTCATACCCACATTTGTCATCTGGAATTTGAACCTACCCATACTGATTTGCCAAGTTTTCCTATCCTACCAACATGTTGAGTTCCCAGTTCATCCCCATTTTGTCGATAAACACCATGTATCAATTCCAAATTCTGAAGTACTGTCACCACACCAATGGTCGGGAATTCATTTCCCGTGTAGTAAATTCATATGTTCAGTTCCCTTCAACTTTGACCTTGACCACTACCATGTGCCACCTTGTCCAGTTCACATACCAACTACTATTCCTGGGGTTCACAGATGAAAGCCAGAGAGAAAGAAGTCCTGGGTGTTCAGAAGCACACCCAACAGCTTTCCCAGAGCTGAGTCCTCAGTAGGAGCAAAACTGAGGTCCTCGTGCTAAAAGGCAGCTTGTGCTCAGCTGGAGGACCACTGTCCCTTTCAATACCTGACACTGTTCAAATATATTCACCCTATTCCCATACTGATGGGATATTTGTTCTTGTGCCATTGCTTAGAAATCACTTCATCTCTTCTCTTGAAATTGTTAAGTACTTTGCTTTTCTGCTTCTATTGGATCTCTGGGTCGAGAAGTCCTAGGTTAGAGGTCAATTGTGACAGATTCAGGGACAGTGTGGCATTCCCATCTAACTTTCAATCACTCCTGAGAGATGAAGCTAGCAGATAGGAGTCTAACCATGAAAACAGAGAGGTATCAAATGGTGCAGGCCCAGTATTAGGAAGGTGCCTGCTCCTTTGCCCAGCCCCGTGAGGCTATACTTTCTCCCTTGGGGCCTGTATGAGGGTTGTGACACCTGTTTTCTGCTTCAGGAGAAACGGAAGCCAGAGTTCTTGAAGGGCCTCCCAGATCACTTGAAGCTCTACTCAGAGTTCCTGGGCAAGCGGGCATGGTTTGCAGGGGACAAGGTAAAGGATAACCAGTGGAGAGGGGGGGACTGCCATTCTTCCCAGACAACCAGATCCCATCCCACTGACCATTGCTTCCTGCAGGTCACCTTTGCAGATTTCCTCGTCTATGATGTCCTTGACCAGCACCAAATGTTTGAGCCCAAGTGCCTGGATGCATTTCCAAACCTGAAGGACTTTGTAGCCCGCTTTGAGGTGATGCTCTGATCCTCCTTCCTCTTGGATGCCCTCCCCTTCCCCCTTTCCAGGATGCTTCTCCAGTCCTGAGGGTTAAAAGAAAAATAACAAGGAACTATTGAGCACTGGCTTTCTGCCAGGATCTGTGATCAGTCTCTTAGATCTGTGGAGTCAATGTATCATTGCAACAGCTGACAACCTGGATAGTTAGATGTCCCACTGGACTGATAAGGAATTTGGGATTGTGGAAGGCTCAAGGTCCTAGCTCCAGCAGAGACTGTTCTGGGCTCCTGACTGCCGTTGGCTTCTAAAGGCACCATTCAGTGTCTCTCTGATTTGTGCAAAAAGGAAAGTCAGGCCTTTGTACAGCCTGAGTTTCCTGCCCAGGACCTGTGGTATGCAGAACATGTGAAGAATGTTTTTGTTCCTGCAACCATTAGGCTGAGACCAAGGCAGACTGAAGAGCAGAACCAAAGCATCCTCAGTGGTCAAACCTGATCTGCAGTCAATAGTGTCCATGACTAGGAAAGCCTGGCGATCCTGGGCGGTTCCCGGGGAGGAGTTCTGTTGGTGGGTGTGCTCTTGCATCCCTCTCCTCCTTCATATCTCATGACCCTCTATGAAGTGAAGTCATACTTTATTTTTATTCAGTTTCTTTGGAATTTTCTTCTGTGTGGGGCACAGGGTCAGACCCAGCAGGATATTCTGGAACTGAGTACAATTGAAAGCAGTAGGCACAGCAGAGATGCATGTGGCATTAAATATTTGCCTGGCCCTCATCTCACAGTTAAACATAGCAGAACTCTCTGATTTGAAAAGAATAAGACCCATTTTTTTTCTTCCAGATTTGCATATTGGAGCCATTAGTATAGCAACAGATCTAGGCCTGAAAGCCGAGTTTCTGCTTCTTCACTCTCCATCAAGGGATGTATTTGATTTTTAGTTAGTTCTCATCAGCTCTGGTTCTAGAGTGGAGTGGCCTTGGTAGTATACAAGAGCTGGCTTGCCCAGGGATGGGAGAGTTTGTGGAGTCCAGAAGCCCTTGTTCTGGACACAGATGGGTGTGGCTTGTTGGGAGCTGATATCTCTGGCTCTGTTGGTCTTTAGAAATGATCTGCACACTCTTTGCTGAGGTGCCCTGTAACACACTCCACTGCTTCAGAGTAGAGGCGGTGTTGGTTTGGGGCTTCGAGTGGAGAAGTTTCAGGTGGACAGTTGGAGCTGGTGGCTCCTTGCTTTGCCTCTCACCCTCTCCACTCATATTCAGGGTTTTCTGAGTCACTGGGTGGGACCTGAGCTCTCTTCTAAGCCATGCATGCAAGTTCTCAGCCCTTTGGGTTTTCTGGGTCCTGGCTTCTTTTTCCCTAGGCATGTCAATGCAGCCAGGAGTAACAATGCTCCCTGTGGGAGGCAGGAGGGGTGTGCACAGAGAGCAGAGTGGCAGCCACAGAGCTGGCCTGCCCTCCTAGCCATGGGAGAATGAGGAAGTTCCCTAACCTCTGGGTACCTCAGCATCCCTGCCGAATGGTGATGGTGGGCCTGATAATGCACGGTGTTTGTGTGAATTTTCTACATCTGGATTTTAAAGTCTCTTGGATGTTCCTAGAGTGAGTTTGCAGAGCTGAGGTCCTGCTTTCTCATTCCCACTCACAGGGCCTGAAGAAAATCTCTGCCTACATGAAGACCAACCGCTTCCTCCCAAGCCCTGTGTACTTAAAACAGGCCACGTGGGGTAACAAGTAGGACCCTGCACTGCTGGTACTGGTAGGGAAGACCTGTCAGTGCCCCCAGCATCCTGGACACTGACTAGGCTGCAACTAGCTTCCAGTAACTTCTTTCCCTCCCATTTCCCCCTCCGTCTTTTCATACCCTTTCCCCTGTTTTTCACTCAAGCCTCCTTCTTGGCAAAGTCCCTTTCTTCCCTTGTTTCTGTCATGTTTCTTCTCAGACAACCTCACTGTGCTTTGAGCAACTCATTTGATGCCTTTACCCACCCCCCACTGTTGCGGAAAGATCTATACTGCCTGGAATGCAGGCTCGGTCTCCAGAGTGGGATAGCCCAGCCTCGATTGATCTCCAGTAAAGTATGAGCCACACTTGCTTTGTGTCCTGTCTTATTTCCTACGATTCGGAGGAGTGACTGCATCGATGTGCAGACTTTGTTCTGTTATCCATAAGGACAGTTAGGTGATGGGAATGGGGGTGGGGGTGGGTGAGGGGATGGGGTGGTGGGGAGGGCTCTCAATCAGGCAGGAAGTAAGATCATGCACAGGGGTGGGAAATATGGTTAATCTGTTAAAAAAGCACTTCCTGTTCTTGCATATAACCTGGATTTGGTTCACAATGGTGGCTCACAATAACCTGTAAGCCCAGCTCCAGGGAATCTGATGGCGTCTGCTTGGACTCTCACATACACTTGGCACACATGAACTTAAGTGAGCAGACACACATAAATACATTAATGAGTCTTTTTAAAAGAGAGAGTCACAATGTCCCCTGATAGTGCTCACCTGGGATTCATAATCCTGCCATGTGTAATACCTCCATTGGCCATGTGCACCTGTGAGCCTGGCATCTGAGAGGTTCTGGGCTGGTAGGCAAAGGGTGAGCAGGCTCCAGGTTCAGTCTCTGGCTTCACCTGGAAGTCATCTCTCTCTCCAAGATGCTTTGCTGTAAATATTCCCTACTGTTGGTGATTGTGTTGTGGCGTCTTCATCAAGCCCAGTCATTCGCTCATTGATCCTGGCCTTGTTGCTATGTCAGACAGTGTCTGGCATGTTGTTAATGTTCGGGAAATTGTGAAGATTTGCTTTTAGAGACTCTTGTCCCAGTGTTTGGAGGAAGAGCTCTGGAAACTACCACAGGATGAGGTACAGAAGTTTTTCCATATGGAGCTGCTGGAGTCCAACACAGAGGCTCACTCTCACAGGAACACTTTAGAGGCTACACCTGACCTTGAACAGCTGGAGATGGGCAAGTCTACTTTTCCAGGCACTAGAACAGCAGTGTATGACTAGAGGCGCTGTCAGGTCACCCACCAAGGAGCTGGGCTCATTGGAGAAGCATCTTCTGGCAGTGACAGATCCTGGATTCTGGCCTCTGTCAAGCACTTCCTACCGTCTAGGAACAGGTTGGAGGACGCCCTGCTGGGCATTGTCCTTCTGCCACGTTCCAGCTGCTGCCTGCCACAGCAGTGAAGAAATAAGCACCCGTAGGCAGGATGCGAGGGTCACTGTGAAATAAGTGATTAATTAGAAGGTGAAGCTAGTAAGATAAGAGATTATTTCCTTTATTCACTTAAGAGAAGTATTGATTAATCTGATAAGGTAAAAATCCTTTAAGCCAGCCTTTATTAAAGCACCAACTTAAACACAGATGCAACAACATCAGGAAAAAGATGTTAATGGAAGTATATAAAAGTTAAGAAGACAGAAATATTAAACCAGAGTAATATTGTTATCATTCTGAATCAGAATGGTCGATAGTTCCTGGCCTGGCGTGCGCATGTGTGTGTGTGTGTGTGTGTGTGTGTGTGCACGCCTGTATGTGGAGGTCAGTGGTTGATATCAGGTCTCTTTCTCAAGCTACATTTTCCTCACTTGTTGAGACAAGATCTCTCACTGAACCTGGTACTCACTGGCTTGGGTAAGCTGTCTACAGAGTAAGCCCAGAGAGTGTCTGTCTCCCCAGCCTGGGGATTATAAGTTTATATCACAGCAGCACTTGACTTGACCTGTACAAAGGACTGAATTCATGCACAGACCTTGTACTTGAATGGCATACAAGTACTTTGTAGACTGAGTCATCTCCCTATCCTCCCAAGTTCTTTTTTAATACCTCTGCTGGATGTCAAACTCCACATAAGGAATTGGTGTACCTGTGTTCTATTGAACACACCTGCACACACAGGTTACTGCAACAAAGGGAAAGCCAAATAACTGAAACCCAGGAAAAATACTTGAATAGACATTTTTTCTAGAGTAGATGTACAATTGCCAATAAGAACATAAAAGTTGCTCAAAATCGCTAATTAGTAGAGAAACATAAAATTAAACTGCATTGAAGATATGCCTCCCACACATCAGATTAGCTACTGTCAGGTAGTAGATGATGGCAGACTTGGTGATTATGTGGAGTAATTGGAAGGCTTGTGCCTTATTGCTAGGAGTATAAAATGCTACAGCTACTGTGGAAATTAGGCTGTTAGTAATTAGTTACTAAAAAATAATTACTATATGACATGCTAACTCCTTTTCTGGATATAGATTCAAAGTAATTTGAAGTTCATGAATACTCACACATATACATACATGTTATACGAGCATGTATATGTGTGTGTGTGGCCCCATGTGCTTAGGCAAAACATTATGATTATCAGAATGTATGGCAAAGACTGGTCTCACTTCTAGGTAGATAGAGGCTGAGGGTGTGAGATGAAGGGGCCCGAGACTACCTCTGCAAGGACCTGTCCCCAGTTCATCTTCTCTTATGGGGAAAATCCAGAGGATGGGGCAGCTCTGCTCCATGCAATCTCTCAGGGTCTCAGCCTCCCCTCATCCGTGGTCCCTCCATTCCCTAGGGTGCTCAAGAGAGAAGTGTTGAGTCAAATTGCCCCCAGGCCATACCTTATGAACACCCAAGGAAGGGAGGAAGCGTAGCATGGTGGGGTGTGAAGTATGGGCTTGTTCTTTGAAGGTTCCTGTGAGGACACTGGGAAGGGAGGGTGCCGGTTACAGGAGAAAATGGTTTCAAGGCCAGCTGATACCACCTAGCTAAACTAAGAGAGATTGTGTGTTTTTGTATTACTTGTTGAAAAGTCCCAAGGACATTTCTGGATAAGGTCTTCTGGAAGAATAAAGGGCCTAGTTAATTCGTGATAGGACATTTTGTAGTCCTCTGCTCAGGGATTTGGTATCTGGAAGGGCCTTTGGGGGAGGCAGGGACAAGCTCCCTGCCCGAGCTCTCTGTCCCACACACCAGTGCTTAGATGAAGTTACATTTCAAGTGGGAAGGAGAGAGAAAAAACAAGCCCAAATCCCATGGTTGAGGCACAGTTTGCTATGGCCAGTCACAAGATCACCTAAAACGGTGGCTTCTTGTGCTACATTGTGCCAAGAACAGCATGTGTAAATGGGGCTAGCTGCAGGTTGTGGGGAACAAGCTAGACATAGGTTCACAAGACAGACAGTATCCATGTTCCTTCTACAGAATACCTTTTTGATGTGTATCTCCAACTGGAGAAGCAGTGAGGCTCAAGGGATATAGTTGGTACATTGAGCAGACATGTAGGAGCCCAGTTGGAAGAATGTGTGTGTGTGTGTGTGTGTGTGTGTGTGTGTGCTGTATGCATGTACAGGGGCATGGGAGGACATCAGGGCTCCAGGCTCTTCTAGCACTTTCCAGTTCATTCCTTTGAGGAAGAATCTCTGTGTGAACCTAGTAGTTCAGTTCAGATGGGCATTTAGTCAACAAACTCCAGCCACACTCTTGTCTCTGCTCCTTAATGCTAGGCAAGAACATATGCCCAGCTTGTTACCTGGACATTGGGATCAGAACTCAGATCCTCATGATTGTGTAGCAATCATTCTTAACCATTGAACCATTTCTCCAGCCCCCTAGTTGGAAGATTTTAAAATAAAATCAAACAGGGAAGTTTCCTTCACTCTCAAGCTTTTCTCCCTTCCTTCTCTGGGTGCCTTATTTTGTATCTGAGAGATAAGGTTATGCACTTATTTTCATTGGTACTCAGTGGCCTTCTTTGTGTGAAGCACAGTAAGCCATGCAAGGATGACCCTCCATCCAGTGACTAAGTACAGCAGAGAGCGAGAGGCACGCAAGTGACATCACCTGACTATGGGCTGTCACAGTAGCCTTCACTTCATAGTCAATCATGGGTCCTCCAGAGTTCACTTGATATGTACAGAGATTTGGGTACTGGAGGACATCGACACAATAGGTTTGTGGTCTGGAGTTATTTCTCCATCATATATTCTGCCTTCTCAGATTCTCTTTGGCTCTGGCTCTGATATAGGAATAACCTTGGTGATTGTGCAAACGTTGGCATGGCTATGGAAGGGATGGACTGGAGAGCTGAGGGCTGCAGCCCAAGGCCTGCTGCACCTACCTCCTTGGTAACAGTCAGCTCTTGGTCTCTGAATACTGTAGGGATCATCTGAGCAGGCTCTCCTGGTAAGATGGAACAAAACACACCCAGTATCTCTTTGCATGGCCTCTGTAGCACGGCTGGATATGAGGTAACTTGGGGCAGACTGAGATCGGCCTGAGGTCCCACATGGAACAGGTTGGACCTCTACTTTCAGGAGCAATTAAGGCTGGCTCATCACCCCAAGCTGCCCCCTCCCAGTGCCCTTGTTCATTTCATCCAGCGTTTGCCAGGTCACTGGGTGAGGGCTGGGCTCTCTATTCTGCACTAGCCTGTTCTGGACCTCCTTGTGCTGTAACAGGTAGTTTCTGTGTAAACCATCCAGGACAAAGTCTGTGAAGACAGGGAGGAGGGGACTGGGCAGACAGTGCACAGAATAAGAGCCCTAGAGCCAAGCTGGCTCAGGCCCTGCCCCAGGGACCGGCTGTGTGAGTAGGAGGAAGCTACCTAACTCCTCTGTACCCGGGCTTTTGCTGCTAGCTGTTCATGGTTCAATAGATCATGCAGGATTATTAAGAGAGTTTTCTGACTCTCTAGTGTATAAGCCCCTAGTCTCCACTTCTTTATGGGAAATTGAAGAATTCATGTTTCAGAGAGCCTGGATTATCGAGTCCACAGGGACTAGAGTAGAGCTACACCAGGCCCCGTGGGGACACAGGTGTGCACTCCTGCTCTCACCTCAGTCACAGGGCCTGGAACACATCCCTGCCTGCCTGAAGGCCAGCCGCTTCTCCCAGACCTGTGCTCATAAACATGGCCACTAGATAAGGACGCTTGGGGCAGCAATTGGGCCCTCAACAGGACAGAAGGTGGCGGTGAAAAGCAATTTCTCCTTGTGATGTTGAGGGCCCTCGGTAGCAGCCATTCCCCTGGTACCCTGACACTACCTTCTCTTTCTTTCCTCCTCCTGACCTCCTCCTCCTGTTTGTTCCCTGATCCCCATCCCATTCTTGCCTTTGAATGGCTCAGCTCCTTCTTTTCCTTCAGCAAAGTGGCCTCCTGAAGTGACTGTCCTTGAGGCTGGCCTGCCTGTCCTGTCTACAGTGGCTGTGCTATGCTGAGCAGCCCGGGGCGCCCACCCCCATCCTCTCTAGTGGTCACCTGCAGCATGGCTGTGTCACCTGCCATATTCCCGTGCCTGGCCTATAGCGTTCCCAGTGAAGTCCCTGCATGTCCTGTGTGGTACCCATTAAGCTTGAGTCACACTTGTTTTGGCTGACACACTTATCAGCTTTCACCCATTGCGTCTAAGGACAGCCTGGTGACCCTAATAGCTTACAGGAATTCTAGAGGACTAAGAAGGGTACCCCCAGAGCAGGAGGCCTTGACAGGGTCTCTAGAATAGAAAGGGCACCCTCTGTGGCAGGAATCTTGTTTACACCACAGTGTTACTGAGATTTGCAAGTTAATAAAAATCAAGTCTAAAAATAAAAATCATCAGTGCCATGATTTCACAGACTAGGTCTCCTCTTCTTTCAGTTGTGTTTTTAACACAGTCAAATAAATCAAGATTGGAGTGAGTTGATGGTACATTCTGGGAGAGGCTAATTCATGACCAGCCTGGGTTACCCAGAGTTCCAAGGCAGCCTCTGAAGCCATCTAAAAAGGAAGAAGAAGAAACACAAGGCAAGGAACACTTGTTCCTCAGGAATTTGGGGCAAGGTTTTAAACCATTGGAAAGAGAAATGTGCTCCATCAATTGTCATAAATTACGGGTCCACATGAATGGTCAGGCTGGGAGTCGGCTCAACAGAGATGATTATAAATCACTGTTCCTTCTGGGTCTTACTCACCCCCAGGGTGATGGTGGAGACATAGAAAATGGGATCTTGGTTATCCGTTTTTGTATGCATGCTGGGGTGTAGGGAGGGTTGAGGTTGGGGGAGGGCATCTGAACAAGGGAGCAGCTAGGGAGGTAAGTGTGTACTTTTTAAATGAATTTTTATAAGTCTAATAATATATCAAATTAAGAAACAGAAAAGATAGATACATTTACCACATGATCCAGGACACACACACACACACACACACACACACACACACACACACACACACACACGTTGAAGTTAAGTTCCATGAGAAACACTTATCTTGCCTTGTGGCAGTGGTGCATGCCAAGTCCCAGCACTTGGGAGCCGAGGCAGGCGGATCTCTGTGAGTTTAAGGCCAGCCTGGTCTGCAGAGCGAGTTCCAGGACAGCCAGAGCTACACAGATAAAAACCCTGTCTCGAAAAATAAAATAAAAAAGAAAGACTTATCTTGCACACATGCCTGTATTTACATTATCATGTCTTCCGGTCCTTCATTGTTCATGTACTCACAATACAAGAGATAATTTTGCCCTCGGGACACATTTGTCAAGGGCCCAGGCCTTCTGAGTTGTCATCACTGGGCAGTGCTGCTGACATCTAGACTCCAGGGTAGAGAACAGCAGCCCCACACCAAAAGGAGTAGAGCCACTAGTCAGGAGCAGGCAAACCCAGTCCCGCCTTTTGCTTAAGGCTTTAGGCGCCCAGCCAAGTCACAAGGTACCCTCAGAACTCAAGCACTCAAGAGGCATTTGCTCTCAACGCGTCCCTGTAGGGTGGGCCTGGCCCGCCCCCTGGACTCTGGGATTGGTCGATACTGGGGGAGTGGAAGGGCGGCCTGAAGACTGGACAAAACCAAGTCCCGGTCTCTTAATTCCAGGCGGTTCTGAGAAAGTCCAGGCTAGTCTGACACTGAGCCTGTCCTTCCAGCCACAGAATCATGCCCATGACGCTGGGTTACTGGGACATCCGCGGGGTGAGTGAGGGGTGTGAATGTAGAGTGAAGGGGTGGGGGTGGGGTGGGGTAAGGACACACGCAGTTGATGGGTTTGCCAAGGAAGATTGTCTTCCAGAAGACAATCTGTGGAAGCATGCTCTGGTAGGTGTGTGTGTGTGTGTGTGTGTGTGTGTGTGTGTGTGTGTGTGCGCGCGCGCGCGCGCGCGCATGGAAATGGTAAACTTAGAACAGGGAGGTGGGGACTCATCTGGAGGGGTTAAAGAATCTCACCACCTCTGGTCCTTTCTCACAGCTGGCTCATGCCATACGCCTACTCCTGGAGTACACAGACTCAAGCTATGAGGAGAAGAGATACACCATGGGCGACGGTGATTGCTAGTCAGATCTTTGCCAACTCTTTCCCATTGGTGCCCAACAATCCACATCTAGAAGTTTTGCTTCTTCTTATTGGACCTACACTGTGCCCCTTTCCAGAACCCTTAATTGTGTAGTTTGCTCTACCAATGGAAGATACTAAGGAAAGATTAGAGGGTCCTCTGTATATATAATTGGGTTCCATTCCCTTAGCACTTGGCTAAATCTATTGTAAGCTTTAGTGATGGAGGAGCCCATAGCCCTTACAAACCTCTTCGTCCTTAAGCTTGCAGGGTGGGACTGTGAGTGGGCTTGCACTTCTACTACCTCAGGCAACCTTAGACACGTTGGGAGGGTCTTGAGAAAGGGACTAGACACATGGATCCTTTAATTTCATATTATCTTGTCCACCACAGCTCCTGACTATGACCAAAGCCAATGGCTGAGTGAGAAGTTCAAGCTGGGCCTAGACTTTCCCAATGTAAGTTCAGGGAAAGGGAGGCTTGGAGAAGGTGATGATGTCTGAGATCAGTCCTTCTGCTCTCATCCACCCATCCCTGGTTGTTCACACCATCTTTCTAGGATGGGCTGAGTCCCAGCTCTTCCATTCAGTGTGCATTGTGTTCATGGGGAGTTCCCCATGCCAGGCACACTGAGTCCCAGGCCCCATGTCTGTCCTCACCCAAGGAAGGGATGCGGGGACCTCATATCCCATCTAACCATCCCTGCTTGCCTATCCAGCTGCCCTACTTAATTGATGGGTCCCACAAGATCACCCAGAGCAACGCCATCCTGCGTTATCTTGGCCGCAAGCACAACCTGTGTGAGTGGGGCTGGCTGCAGGGTGGGGATGGTGATCACCCTTCTTGTCTGGGGTGGGATGCTGAGAGTCTCTGCTGTGTGTGCTGCAGGTGGGGAGACAGAGGAGGAGAGGATTCGTGTGGACATTGTGGAGAATCAACTTATGGACAACCGCATGGTGCTGGCCAGGCTTTGCTACAACCCTGACTTTGTGAGTCCTACTCTAGTCTGGATGAGGTGGCAGTACAGGAGCTTGTACCCTTACCTTCTCATCTGTTCTGTGTGTCTAACATCTAAACTTCTTCCCACTGCTCACCTAGAAATGGTGCTCTGGACTGCAGCAGAGTCATGTGCCACAGCCTGGAGGCTGAGACAGGACTGTTTAAGGCATTCCTGATTGTCTCTAAAGCAAAAATATCAAAATAAAACCAATCCCTCTATGAGCACCCATGCGAGCATGTGGGCATGCACGTGCGCACGTGGACACACACACACACACACATACACACACACACACACACACACACACACACACAGACACACACCTGCTCACAGAGTGGCCCTCAAACCTCAGAGTCTTGTCACATAAAACTCCCAGTGAACTTCACTGCCTTTAGCAATCAGAACAAACACTCCACAGTCAAGCATCAGTATCTGGGTAGTAAAGACTTTAGAATCCCTCAGCTCTGGGTTATATCTTCTACTAGGTTTTACATCATCACTGCTATAGTCCATACTCAAACAATGAGAAAAAGTGGTACTGTCTGGAAATAGATGGACATCATCACCTGGGGTCTCTTCCCAACCAGATTCCCAGAGCTGTATCCAGGATGCCCATGGTGATAAGCAGATATTCCCAGTAGGCAATTCATAGCCAATCAACCCTCTCCTTTCATTTTACCCCCTCAAATTCACTTCATCTTATTTTGAAAGTGCACCAAGGTCCAACCTTCTCCTGTCACTTTACTATGTAGAACATTCAACTTCTTTTCCAGAGTGCTTTAGTTGCTTGTTCCTTTGACTCTACATAACACCTGAGTCCAGAGCTTGCCCACACAGTCCTGATGTGACCCGCAAGAGTGGTTCTGAACATCAGTGGTGAGTCTCAGGGACTGAGTGTTCCTGTGTGGCTGCTCATCACCTCTGATATTGGATCTGGTGCCTTATAGGAGCTAATTAGTGGTAACATAATAAATTAAAACCTGGATTAACCCAGGCCCAATCTTGGGAAGGTGGCTGCACCTCTGCCCAGGTGGGGCCTTAGCAGCCCTGTGAGCCCAGACTATGCCAGAATCTTGTCACTGAGGATGGTCACAGTGTTTTCTGCTGTAGGAGAAGCTGAAGCCAGGGTACCTGGAGCAACTCCCAGGAATGATGAGGCTCTACTCTGAGTTCCTGGGCAAGCGGCCATGGTTTGCAGGAGACAAGGTAAAGAGAGGTTGTGGGGAGGAAGCATTGCCATTCTTCCCAGGCTACCAGATTCCAGCGCACTCACTGCCAGCTTCCTGCAGATCACCTTTGTGGATTTCATCGCTTATGACCTTCTTGAAAGAAACCAAGTATTCGAACCCAAGTGCCTGGAAGCATTCCCAAACCTGAAGGACTTCATATGTCGCTTTGAGGTGATGGCTCCTAAACTTGTTTCTTCTTGGATGCCCTTCCTTTCCCTGAGAGGTCCTTAGTTCTGAACTAAATTAAAAACAGTAGCATTTATTGGGCGCTTGCTCTCTGTGCTTAGCATCTTTTTATCTTTTGGGTGAAATTTATCATTATGATCAACATACAGGGCAGATTGAATTGAGTCCCATTAGCTAGATAAGGAAACAGGCTATAGAGGGTAAGTCCTACTAGCAGAGGTTTTTCTCCAGTCCCTTTGATGCTTGGTCTCTAAGGGCAGCAGGCAGTAGCTATGTTCCTATTTTATGTCAAGAGGAAGAGCCTTGGGCCCTTGTGCTGTCTGAGCTACTTAGTCCAGGATGCTGTGGAGAAGGCAGGACATGGCAGGAGTATGTAAGCCACAGGCATTTAGGGAGGTAGGCGTGGTAGGATTTGTGTGAAATAGGCGTGTGTAGACAATACTCACACCCAATCTTCAGAATGCTTCATTCAGTCTGATCCCCACCTGAGTACATGCCAAACCCCAGGGCTGTTTTTGGTGCTACATTTGAGAGTGTATGTGAGCCCTATTCAGGGTTTTTATTCTAAAGTGTGGTTTGGGGTTTTCTTCCCATTCTTTTCCCCCATGTCTCTATATACCTATTTTCACTGGCCTTCTCTGTATGAGGCTCAGTGTCAGACCCAATGGGACACGGAAAGAACTCCATTCAGAGACTGAGAACGGCAGAGAGATGTGGACATAACAGACATGGTATCAGCCGGGGGCTGGGGATCGAATCTTGGCCCTCCCTCTACAGCCAGTCATGGGTCTCCCAGAGTCTCCTTGACACCCACAGAATCTATTCTTTCAGAGATTTGGCAACTGCAGGCAATAGAACAACTGGCTTGTAGCCTGGAATCTCCTTATGGCAAATAAAACATCTTCTCAGTTAGTTCTTACCAGCTCTGACTCTGGTCCTGATACAATGGCCTTGGAATGTACCAGAGCTGGTGTGGCCATGGTAGGGAAGGATGGACTAGCCGAGGGCTGCAGCCCACTGCACCTGTTTCCTTGGTAACAGTCAGCTCTTGGTCTCTGAACACTGTAGGAATTATCCAGGCAGGCTCTCCTGGTAAGATGGAACAAAACACACCCAGTATCTCTTTGCATGGCCTCTGTAGCACGGCTGGATATGAGGTAACTTGGGGCAGACTGAGATCGGCCTGAGGTCCCACATGGAACAGGTTGGACCTCTACTTTCAGGAGCAATTAGGGCTGGCTCATCACCCCAAGCTGCCCCCCCCCCAGTGCCCTTGTTCATTTCATCCAGCGTTTGCCAGGTCACTGGGCGAGGGTTGGGCTCTCTATTCTGCTGCACTAGCCTGTTCTGGACCTCCTTGTGCTGTAACAGGTAGTTTCTGTGTAAACCATCCAGGAGAAACTCTGTGAAGACAGGGAGTGACAGGGTGTCCTGCAGGAGGACAGGAGGGGACTGAACAGGGAAGGCACAGAATGGGTCCCTGGACTAGCTGTGTGAACAGGAGGGAACCACCGAACCCCTCTGTACCTTGGCTTTCGCTGAGATGTGGGTACAGTGAGACTGATCTTGGACGATCAAGTAGGTTTTCTGAGCATATTCATAATCTATATGGGTACAAAGCCCATTGCACAGTCTTTATAGGAAACTGAAGAGTTCCCTATTCAGAACTCTAGAGCTATAGGGAAAGCTGTTCCTGGAGTGGGGCTGCTTATCCCAGTGGGGCCGCTGACCTGAGCTCCTGCTCTGTCCTTGTCACTCACAGGGCCTGAAGAAGATCTCGGATTATATGAAGACCAGTCACTTCCTCCCAAGACCCATGTTCACAAAGATGGCCACTTGGGGCAGCAAGTAGGGCCTTGGCAGCCTGGGATGTTCGATTAAGGTGCCAGGCTTCCTTGGTTTGCAGGGTTCCCTGAGGAGTAGGCAGGACCGCTGCAGTTGCAGGGCCACCTTTTCCTTCTCCCTTCTTTCCATCCTGTCCCAGACCCCAAGCTCCCCAGCTCTCTCTTTTTGCTCATCCAATCCCTGCCCCACATAGGCTCTTTAAAGCCCCAGCAACTCTTTTCCGTTGTCAAAGTACCCTTCTGAAGCTGAAGTGCCCCTTACATTACAGGTTCACGTGTTTGGGTACTGGGTTCCCAAATGATGCCTATTTTGAACAATTGTGGGCTCTCTGGCAGGTGGGGATCTATCTGGAGACAGGAGGTTGCTAGGAACATAGACTTTGACCATTGTAGTCAAGGACCTCGCCTGCTTGCTCTCCGTTTCCTGATACAACAGGATATGAGCAGGCTGTGCTGCGGCAGGAGCATTACCACTGCATCTGTGACTCGCCTCTACCGCTTGCCTCCTCCCGCCACCTTGAAATGTATCTTCTGAACCATGAACCAGAATAAACCATTCTCCCCTTAGGTCACTTTTGTTTGGCATTTTGTCACAACAACAAACAACTGACGAGAAGCCTGATTCCAGTGAATTCAAACCGCTTGTAGACATCTTCAGTGCTGAAGGTCATCTCTTTGCTCGTTCCAAGGCCTCTTAGTCACAAGCCAGTGTGGCTTTTGTGTCGCTTCATACGGTCATGTGACATTCTTTTATACACATTGTTAATGTAAAACTTTGTCTGCTCAGACTCCTCCCCCACCAGTTCTCCATCTGCAACATGTACTTACTCCCAAAGCGATTCAAAACCACACGAGATTTGTTCAGGGTTTCAGTGATTCCCATCCCTGGTACCAGACTGAGTTGCTTCATGGGCAGGCATTCAGGCCAGGCTCAGTTGGAAGAAATAGGCTACTCAACAAAGACCTCTTATCCAAAAACAATATATCTAGAAAGATACCTTACAAAACAGGTGAAGGCTTGAACAGGCCTTCCTAAAAGGGAATATACAAGTAGCCTATTAGCCCATAAAATCACAACAAACACCCGTCATTGTAAACACTGTAATATCCTAGTGTAGACCCACTAGAATGGCTAAGATCCAAAAGGCTTGGCAATAGCTGGTACTTTATGAAGTGATGGGACTTGTGTATTGCTGCGAGTATGACCACTTTGGAATGTTGACAGTGTCAACTAGTGTTGAGCAAATAGTGACCTTTCACCCAGGACTGTCTCCCTGTGCTTTTGTCTTCCAAAAGCTGTAAAAGACTTATGCTAGAATATGGGAACAGCTTAGTTTTCAATTTAAACATCAGGAAATTAGTAAATCAAGGGCAGTTTATTAATATAAAGCCATTATCATGTAATAAAATAGTATGTCATAATATAAGATGTGGCAATGAATCTCAGTGACATTATGTTGACTGATGTTGACAATGTGCATTCTTTATCCTTCCATTTAAATGGGAAGTGATTGGGTCAAATGCATGTTGACTTTGGCAGGGTTGTTTATTGACAGGAACTTGTGGAGTGCTAGAAATATTCCTTATCTAGATCTGAATGGTAATTACACAAAGAATACAGATACCAAATTCACACGATCTACCCTTAAGAGCTACACATTTATAGCATGTGAACTACACATCAGTGGGAAATATGCACATTACCTGCCTTACTGTTTGCATTTATTCCATGCGTCTGTCCATGGATGATAATATTTTGGTTACTTCTTGTTCCCTAGTGCTTTAAGTGTTTAACATCTAGAAAATGCCCTGAACCTAGTAGGGACTTGACGAATGTCTACTTAGTGACATCACTTCAGATCTTTTTGACTTTCAATAATGCCTATTTTAGTCATGTGCACTTATGTTCTTATCAGGATGGGTGTGGCTTGGGTCCCAGAGCCCTGACTAGGGGTAGCCAGGGAATGAAAGGATAGACACACAGATAGTGAAGCTGGGGTCCGGTAGGGCTCTGCCACCACTATGGCCTGGAGCCTCAGCTTACTTTTATTAGGTAGAGCACAGGGGTGGGCCAACATAGCTATGAGGTCACTGTAATCATGCAGTCTTATGCTGTGGACAGCCAGGAGGAGGAAGCCGCAATTTCTAGTCTTTGTACACACTGATCAATTGCTCATAAAGACTTTGACTGCCAAAGTTTTGCTGTTCCTCTTGAGCCTGGAAAGTATGGATAAAGGTTCTACTAATAGTCCCATGGGTCCAAGGTCTTATAGCCCTTAATGTAGCTGTGCCTGTGCCAAAAATACACATTCACTCAGGACTTTTCTCACTCAGGTTCTACTCCCTACATGTTCTGCTCGTTCTTGCTTTAAACTTTTACTTAAAACATATTGACACTGACTGTGTGGCTCATCAGTAGACTAGCACACACAGAGCCCCAGCTTGGAGTCCTTGCATAAGAAAGTGTGGTGTGTGCATGTGTGTGCACATGTGTGTGTTTAGTTGCAAGTGTCTGTGTTGGAACATGTGGAGACCAGAAGTCGACAATGGGTGCCTTTCTCTGTTGCTCTCCACCTGAAATTTTGAGACAGGGTTGTTGACTGAGTCTGAAGCTCTACTTGGCTAGAATGGCTGGTGAATGAACTCCTAGGATTCTCTCGTCTCTGTCTCCCAGCCCTGGGATTACAGATGCCCATCCCAAGCCTGGCTTATTAAAGTGGGTACTAGGAATCTGATCCTCATGCTTGCATAGCAAGCACTTTACCTAATAAGCCATTTTCTAGCCCCCTGTGGTGTATATACATTTTTAAAGTGAGACATATCAGCATTCTGCTTACATGTACATTCATGAGACTTAACTGTTATCTAGTATTCCTTTTTGTAGGTAAAATACAATTTTCCTAACCCTTTTCCTGCTACTGGGCACCTCTAACATTTTAGCTTTCACTACACCAGTATGGTTGACTTTAAATGTATTGTCTCCCTCTATTTTGGTTCCTATATTTTCAATTATCCCCAAAGGATACAGTCTGGGGCACTGGGAAAGACCAGTTGTGTGGTGTTGTAAGAGATTGTGTGCCGTTCTATGAATACATTTACAGTGTCACCAGGAAGGCATGTGGCCCCTTTCATGTGTCACCAAAAGCACTTGTAGTTCATAGTTCCACTTCACAGCACCTTTAAAGTTTGTAATGACTCTTGGATGCTTTTCCCTTTCATTCTTGGAAATGAAGAATTGTTCTTCATTTTAATGGTTACTGAGTGTACCTGTTTCCACTTGATGAATCAAGGCCTACACATCTCCCTACGTAAAACTCTGTTTATCCAACATCTCCCCAGGGCTTAGTCAATTTCTAGCGAACAGTTAAAAGATGAGATGCTGACAGTTAAAATCTACTCTATTCCTATAGATCAGTGGTGTTAATTGATATTCGGGGTCAGGCTTCCTATCACAAAATAAGATGCTTGATCTTTTGTGTTAACTTGACTGGACAAATGGATGCTCACACAGCTGTGAAGATATCCTTGTGCTGGGTCTGTGAGGCTGTTTGCAGAAGAGATTAGCATAAATGGGGAGTTTGAGCAGCAAAGAAACATCCTGATCGATGAGGCAGGCAGACATTCCATCCATCAGGGCCTAGAGCTGATCAAAGTTGGGGAAATGTGAAATGGGCATCTCTGTTCAATGAGGACTGGCGTCTCTGGTGCTGGGGAATCTGTGCTCCTGGTTCTCTGATCTTGGGATAGTGGAGACTTATACCATCTCCCCGTCACTCACTCCCCTGTCATGGCTACCAATTCATGTGCATTTAACAGCAAAAACAGTTTTGCTTTCTTCTCTTGAAGACTGAGCATGGTGGGGCTTCCTCCATCTCCACAGTCACATGAGGGGCTGCCATGCCCTGGTACAGGCTGCTGAAGACTGTGCAAGGGGGCAGTTTTCTGACTAAAGAGTCACCCCACCCTATCCTGTACCCTAGAGGACCAGGCTGTCCAACCTCTCCCGGTGCCCAACTCTCCATCTCTCCTTCCTTTTATGCAGCCTTGATGTCCCTGGAGTAAGACAGTTTCTAGGTCCTCCCTGCAGGTAAATCCTCTTCCAGTCTGGCCCTCCACCTGCTGGCCAGCAGTTCCAAGTAGTTAAAACTCAATTGCCGATTTTAACCCATTCGTGAATCATAGATTATGTCTTCTCCATCTTAATTATAAGAAGCTAGTGGAAATAAGGAATTTCCATAACTTAATTTTAAAGGGGAAGTTTAAAAAAATAAAAAACACTTCTTTCTGCATAAGGCCTAAACAAAGAAACAAAAACAAAAACACTGCACAGATCATTGCCTTTTGCTGCAGGAGGCGAACAGACCCTAATCATGTTGACTTCACTATCAGAGTTTAAGTCCTTCACACATTTAACATTTGTTTCCTATCAGGAGAAAAACATATTTTATCTTCCCAAAGATAAGAGGTTAGTATCAGTCAGTACCACTGCCTTTAACTAAAATCTCACGAAGAGGAACATGGGCGATACACATTTCTGTAAACTGTTTCACACAATACATTACGTGTCCTGTGTAAACAGGCAGATAAAACTGTGTTTGATTTGTAAGATAAAATGAAATGTACACACTCTTCATAATAAAGAACAAGGAACTGAAACTACTAGATCATATCATACCTCAATAAACTGTTTTTATCTATAAAGTGAGCCATGAAATATAGATACCAGATAAAGTAAACATGTCCAAGACTCTCTCTCTCTCTCTCTCTCTCTCTCTCTCTCTCTCTCTCTCTCTCTCTCTCTCTCTCTCTCCTGGTTTTTTTTTTTTTTTTGAGATAGGGTTTGTCTGTGTAGCCCTGGCTGTCCTGGAACTAACTACTCTGTAGACCAGGCTGCCTCTGCCTCCTGAGTGATGGAGTTAAAGGCGTGCATCACCACCGCCTGGATTTTTTTTTGGACAGCTAAACTGTATCGTGTGTTTATAAGCATCATACTTTCAATCCATTCTCAGGAAAGGCTTATTCCTTGGCTTTGCTTGCACACCTCGCCTGGATGAGCACTAGCTAAGAATCTGTTTCCTTTAGAACAGTCCTGAACAGTCCTGTGCTGGACTCAGCTGAGATTTTCACTCCAATACCAGCAGTGTGAGACAGGGTTATAGAGATCCCTGCCACTTTCTGAATGTTCTCTAGTTTCTCAGATGGAACAAAATTTCCTCATATAATATTAATTTCTGGTACAATTCTTATACTTTGGGGGAAAAATTCCAAGGCACTAGGCAGTGATGTGTTTACTGAAGAAATGAATTAAGAGCTCCTAGGTTTTAGCACTTAGCGTCAACCCCCTCTACCCTCTGAGAAGCTACATATTCTCTTTACAGTCTCTTCTGGTTGGCATGGTCCTGGGTCTGCTTACCTGGAACAGGATCAAAAGCTCTATGGCACTGGCTATTTTGATTTTTTTTTTTAATTTCCTTTCCAGCTGCATTTTCCTCTTTTATTTATTTTATTGAGCTATGCATTCCCCCCCCCACTCCTCCCCTCTCCCTTCCACCTTTCCTCCCTATCCCCCAGGCTTCCAATTTACTCAGGAGGCCTTGTCTTTGACTTCAGGATCAATCTATGACAGACGCCCCAGGCTTGGGGCTACAGGCATGAGAGACATATTATTATCAGTCAGGCATGTTATTATCAGTCAACAGTCCACTACAACCACATGAGAAATCTTCATCCAAGACCAAAATAAAATAAAATAAAATAAAATCCTGGCTGATGATATTTGATGAGTGAAGAAAGAAGGGCATTTAACACCATGTCCTCTGTTGAAAGTGGGCCAAGACCAGGATGTTCAGATAAGGACTATCTGGAGGGCCCCTGACTCCCTCTCAGACATACTGAGAAACTGGACCAAAGTTGCATTATCTGCATGAGAACCTGCCTCCTGTGCCTATATGAAATCAGCTGTTCCTTGGTACACTGGTCACACAAGGTCAGAGCAAGCTAACAATGCCACCTTTAACACTCTTTTCCCTGTGGGAATCTATATGGAGAAGTTGTAACTGGCCTGGAAGAAATGAGTAAATTCTAATGAGACACTGTGTCCCTCAATTTGGCTTTCAGATTATTGAAATGATGAGCTCCAAGAAGCTGGGATTTTCTCCAGGAAACTCCTTCTGGGAGTAGGAAAAGGCTGAAGCCTGACACCAGATAGTGGGAAGAAATCTGCTTACATGACCACATCCCTGACCTTCTAGTTAAGCTTTAATCTCATCTATATACATTTAAGGACAGGGCAAAGCACACTTACTGCTAATCTTTTAAAGCATTTATTTTGGGCAGTGCCACAGTGGGTGTGTGGAATCAGAGGGTAACCCTGGGAAGGATTCTCTCTCCATCGTGTATCACCAGGGATCAAACTCAGGCATCAAGTTTGGTAGCAAATATCTTTATCCACTTAGCCATCTCACTGCTCCTATTTTTTTTAAATAGTATCTGAAAGTATTCTGAGATAGATAGGGTGAGTTTTTAGAGGTATATTTCTGTCTTTGTAGCGATTCAGTTTGTAAGACAAAGACATTTTCTTCCCCCCACCCCAAGGTTTGATAATTTATTTGTTACTCTTAAAAGATTTAGTTTTGATTGCACTCAGACTCATAAATGGAAGCTCTCACTGAGGACAGCCCATGTCTGTTGTCAATCTGTTCCTGGCATTTTCAAAATCATTTTTATTTGGCTTCCTTTATTCTCTTGGCCAAAAGTTTGGCTTGTTCCTCAGCCTCCTCCTTGTTTTTCTTAGTGTATTGTTTCTTTGCAGCAATGAGACAGCTTGTGTGTTTCAGGACACATGCAGTAATAAGATGCTGAGTCTTGGGTGATCTGGTCCTGGGCTTCTTTCTTTCTTTGTTCGAGGGCTTTCCGATAACATATTGGCAGACATCATCTTCTTTAGAAAGACTGAAAGCTTTTTGGATTATGCTAGCTCTTTTGGGCTCCAATTGTCAAGGCACAGTAGTAGTGTATCTGTAAGCTCTACTAAATGGAAACGTAACACAGCAAACATAAAAGTCTAAGGTCCCACTCTCCCAGAGAGCACACCATGGCAGTCTTGCTCATTGCAGCCTCGGTGGCTCACAGACTGAGAGGTGCCAGGCGGGGACTACTGGCCCCATTGTTTGGGGCCTGCAGCAGATGATGGTAGGAGAGTGTGGTAGAACACATAGTCAAAAAGCAAAGGAGAAAAGAGGAGCCAGGATCTGATGATCCTCTTCAAGAACTAACCCCTGAAGGACATCCGTGCCTGTTGGGTTCACGTCTGACAGAGCATTAATTAGAAAGAAGAAGAGTTTATCTTGCCCCCGTGTTTCAGAGATGACAGTATATGATCAGCTGGCTCCATTGCTGTGGGCTAGGGGCAAGGCTAACACAGCATGGCAGGGAACATGTGGCAGAGAAGATATCTTGTGCTGGCCAGGAACTAGAGAAGGAGACAAGGGCCCAGTATCTTTCCAGGTCATGCCCCCTAAGTGACCTTCTTCTTCCAACAAGGTCCCACCTCTCAAAAATGATACTGTGTTATGAATCTATCAAGAAATGGATTCATTCATAAGGTCAAAGCGCTCAGCATCTAATTCCCAATACCCTATCAGCTGGCAACTAAGCTTTTAACACATGCTATCCATTCTAGTTTGGTTTCTGTTGCTGTCATGGTGATAAACACCATAATAAAAAGCAACTTGGAGAAGAAAGGGTTTCTTTCAGATTAAAGGACATAGTCCATCATTGAGGGAGGCCATGACAGGAAGTCAAGGCGGGAGTTTGAAGCAGACACAGTGCAGGCATGATTATTTGGCTCCCTCTTCCTGGCTTGCTCAGCTACTTTCTTGAGAGCTTGTTTGGAGGTTCTAGCAGGGGAGCACAGCTAAGACTGGTCCTCAGGAGGGACACACATGGAGCAGTGAGGAAGGAAAGGGACACATGCCTAGCCAGCCAGATCAGCTGAATCAGCTGGTGATCAGATAGCTTTCCCATCCTCAGCTAGCTTTCTTATATTGCTCAGGCCAACCTTTCTAGGGATGGGACTACCCACAGTGGGCTTGGCTCTTTTGCCTCAACCTTAATCAAGATAATACTCCACAAATAAGTCCACAGCCCAATCTGATGGGGGTGATTCTTCAGAGGATGCCCCCTCACTGCAGGTGTATCAAGCTGACAAGATTAGCATCACAACCTCTTTGGAAGGACATTTCACATCAAGGTAATACAATCTCCCTTGTGCTCTACCTCTCACAGGTTTCAACACCTCCCAATAGGACTTTCTGAGCACCAAGCCTTTAGTAAGCAGATATTCAATATCCAAACTATGACAAATGGAAGTAAGGTTTCTCTGGCCAGGTATGGTCACATATGGCCAGGTACTAGGACACATAGTCCTAGTATTCAGGAAGTGGAGTCAGGAGAACCAGGAATTCAAGGTCATCCTCAGCAATAAAGTGAGTTCAAGGCCAGCTTGGGGCTGTGTGAGATCCTGTTCCAATAAAACAAGACAAAATACCTCTCTGGTTTAAATTTGGAGTGGTTCTATAGTTTTGATCTGGAATCTTCTCTGAAGGCCCACATGTTAAGTGCATGGTCCTTAGTTTCACATGACTGAGAAGTTGTGGAAAATTTAAGAGGTAGAATATAGTGGGATGTTTTAGGGAACAGGAACATGGCCTGAAAGGGATAAGGGATTGTGGGACTCCTTTGCTCCTCTCTCTCCCTCTCCTTCTCTCTCTCTCTCTCTCTCCTCCCTCCCTCCCACCCTCCCTCATTTTCAGGCATGGTGAAGGAGTTTCCGTTGCCACATACTCCTACTGTGATAGATTGCCTTGCTGCAGGCTCCAAAGTGGTGGGCTGTGGACTATGGACTAAGGCATTCCAAACTGAACCAAAAATACACCTTCTATCTTTTTAAATTGATCACCTCAGGGTGTTCTGCTAAAGTGTTGGAAAACTGAGATATATCCCCAGACACTGATTGGTTTCTCTCTTGAGTCTATAGTTCATTTCAGCTCCAGAGGAAAAACATTAAAGCAAAGTTGTTGTCATGCCCTAATAATGAAGCAAACTTTTAAACCAGAGGTGTGTTTAAACTGTAAGCACTATTTACATGTGAGACCCACACAAATAAGAACAAGATGGAGTTAGAATACTGTCTGGTAGAGCAGTTGCCTAGCATATGCCAGACCCTGGGTTTAATCTTGAAAAGGGAAAACAATTTTTTTTTTTTAAAAGAAGAAATATTTTAAAGAATCAAGCTCTCCAATGAGAAAACAATGCTCTCTGTCAAAACTCAAAGGACTTCCAATACAAGGTGAGAGACAAAACAGTTTCCTCATCATACACAGCTAATTAAGCTGACCAGGTCCCTGTCCCCATGGGGGCCTGGTGTGCAACAGTTGCAAACAGAAGCCTCTTTGGTAGTGTGTGCAGCCTGCTGCCTATATGGGCTGCGCTAGGGGACCTTGGAGACAATTTTCTGGCAGGTATTCAAGTTTCCGATCTCAATGCTGTCCCCAGTCTAGGCTCCAGACAGGTGGGCATGGTGCCTTGGGGAAGCCCCAGGGCACATGGCCAGGGTTCACACTAGCCAGGTCATCATGTCCATTCACACCAAACTGAAGAATAAGAAACACGTGATTGGGGCTCTTCATGGAGCCAAGTTCAAGCTCCCTGACTACCAGAAGATCTACATCTCAGAGAAGTGGGGCTTCACCAAGTTTAATGCCAATGGCTTTGAAGACAAGGTCACTGCGAAGCAGCTCATTCCTGATGGCTGTGGGGTCACGTGTGTCCCCTCGTGGTCCCCTGGACAAATGTGAGCCTTGCATTCCTGAGGGCTTCCACAGATCTCTCTGGTATCCTACCAAATCATGCTCAGTAACAGACTCACATCCCTGAAAACAAACAAACAAAACAAACATTTAAGAAAAAAAAAGAGTTGTTACCACATTTTTGTCCAACTATATTTTCTGGCCCCATTCTGATTAACCCTCTGTACACAAAGTCTTGATACACTGTGTAACCCCCCCTCCCCCCCAGAGAAGGAAGTAAGAACAGCAAGATAAGCAGGAATTGAAAAGATGCCCATGGAAGAAGGGACAATCATGCCCCAAGTTCAAGAGCCACATGAATAATTTTAAATAGTCAAAACATTTTCCCCCTCTTTTGAGCCTGGGTGAATTCATTGAGAAGGGAGTTTATGTTGTGTTTTTAGGAGACAGAAATACTAAGGAGGCATTATAAGAAGTGTTTTAAAACATGGTAAGGTTTGTCTGAGAAAACCACCCAGAGACCTCCCCCCTCCCCCACCACTTCTCAGGGCAAAGGGCAGGGGAGAGCAGAGTCAGCTCTCTGTGCCATACTGCACAATATTTTGCTGATAAAATTTCATTACATTTGAAGCCTCTGCAGCAAGTCTGGAGCAATCATTAAATACAAATAAAAACTGCCAGTGTGTAATAGAATCCAAGATAAAGCTGGCAGAAGCTGACTGTAAACAGGGCTGTGTCAACAGAAACTGATTAGGAAACTAGAGAGTGTCACAGCTAGGTCCCCAAACTCTCGGGGACCCTGAAACAGAGATCAAAGATGGTGTTTGCTTGCATGCATGATACCATCCAGTTCTCTTCCAGTCACAGATTTGCTCCCCTGTGACACTGGGCAGGTGATACAGGGAAGGGGTTGACAGCACTGGCTAGGCAACACTTTTGCACAGACTCCCCAGGTTTGGCATGGCAGGGCACTGAGTTCCCAGACTCTCAGCTGGTTGCTGATATATATGTGAGCTCTGGCGCACTCAGGAGGAAGAATTTAGACGGGGCCTTCTCTTCGCTCATAAAACTAAACTCCTGGGATGTAACTTTTTGTTTTTGTTTTACGTTGTTATTTTGGTTTGAGGTTTTGCTTTGTTTTCTTTCAGGGGTCCATAGCAAACTTTTTGTGTAAACAAATGCTGATATAACAGAAACCATAAACTTAGCAGTCTGCAGACCAGTGCCAACAACAGACTTAAAAAGACTGCTGAGGTTGGTCTTTCCCTGTGGCTGCATGCCTTAGGAGGGCAGTACAGAAAGACCTGGAAATAACCTCACCCTTTATCAGCCTTTCTCTGAAGCCCAGGACCTTAGCTGAGGCAGCCTGTGGGGGTTAGGGGATGGGCTGAATCCTGCTCCAGTCAGTGAGGGCAAGCCACACTGTCATCTGGGATCACTGGTTGGATCTAGGAACCCACGTATATAAGAGAAAAACACAAGCATTTCATTTAATCTACATGGACATGGGAATCTTCACAAGAGACTGAAGTCTAAAGAAACGACTAAAGCCTGCAATTTTTGTGCTTTTTAGATAGTGAAGAATAAACCTAGGGAGGAATGATGAGACAAATGGATGTCTAGACTACAGTGCTAAATTCTATGTATTAAGAAGGGGTGAACTTTGAGAGTCACTTCACAGTGCATTTATTCCAATTAGACTCCTAGCTAGTTGCAGTTAGGAGTCTTGGCTATGCTGCAGCCTTGGTGTGTGAAGGATATCTCCAGGAAGAATCTTCAGGGCTTGCTAAATATGGACATGGACGGGCCAGATGACCTTTTCTAAAGATGTATGTTTAGGTTGCTAGAAACCCATATATATATATATATTTTTTTTTAGAAGCCCAGCTATCCCTTTAAGAAACATATTGGTAAAGTTTCTGTTTTGTGGCTGGAGAAGTGACACAGCCATTAATGGTGAAAAGAAAGTATTAACTTAGGACGCCCATGACCAAGTTCTTAACACAAAGGAGATTTATTTGCCCCAGAGGGACAGAGGACAGGGAATACAAGACAAATGCAGGAGACAGAGATGAGGGAGAAGGGGAAAGGAACAAGGGAGACAGGGCAGGGATATTTGTCTCAGAGTGGGATAAAGGATAGAAAGGAGAATGGCATGGCCCCGGGGACTTTGATTACTGGAGGAAGAGGCCAAATAAGGGAAAGACTTTGGTGGCTAGCATTTAGGAAGGTAATCTAATGGTTTTTTAGCAAAGCAAAGAGAACCAGGGAAAAGGACAAGGCCTGCCAGAGCCATGCCTGTCATGCAGGAGCTGGCCAAAGTGCCTTCAAAGAGCCCTGGCTGCTCTTCCTGAAGATCTGGGTTCAGTTCCCAGCATCCACCTAGTTCCAGAGGATCTGACGCCCTCTTTTGGCCTTTGAGGGCACTACACACATGTGGGGCACAGACATTCACACAGGCGAAACACCTGTACACAGAAAATAAGTTTTAAAGTTTCCATGTTTTTCTTCTTAGAAATGTTTCTTATTTTCTATCAGGTTGTATTGCTTCTCTGCTTTCTGGAAAACTTTGTTTTGCTTTATTCTTAATATCTGAAGTATGTGGGAAATTTACTGAATTCTAGCTCGTCAATATCTTATGGGATTTTATTTTCTTAATTTTAGATTTTAGCAAATGTTTTGTATTCTGGATTTTTCTAAGTTTAGATAGATGAGTGATATTTCAGAGACTGTGAAGAAATTTCCAGAGGAGATCTTGGCCAGCATGCCTTCTCCTCTCCAGTTGCCTTTGCCTTCCTCTCCACTCTTTTGAGAGTATGGGAACAGGCTGGGGTGCCTCCCATTTCCTGAATTGCTACAGACTATAGAAGAGTTATGCTGTGCATGAGGTTCAACTGCCTTTTATTTTTCTTCATAGAGTAAGGAAGGGCGAGGTAGATAAACACCAATGTTCCAGAAGTTGTCTGAAAATTTTTCAATTTATTTTAGGTATGGGTGTTTTGCCTGTGGAGGTCAGAAGAGGATTCTGAGGATTCCCCAGAACTGGAGTCACAGACAGTTATGAACTGCCTTTGGGTGCTGAGAATCAAATCTGGGTCCTCTGGAAGAGCAGCAAGTATTCTTAACTACTGAGTTATCTTGATGGGGAATGTTCTGTATATGTTTCTCTTATTGGTTAATGAATAAAACACTGATTGGCTGAATGGCCAGACAGGAAGTGATGAAGCTGGGCAGAAACTTGCCATTAGCTAACCATTAGAGGTCTGGAGATCTATACAGATAGACAGGACATGACATAGCTGAGCAGAATCAGGAAATAAGCAGGGATGAGCAGGAAATCGCTCTCTTCTCTGCGGAGACACTGAGCAGTCATCACGTAGCAGGTAAAGGAGTTGCAAGCTCCGCATTCCCCGGTAAGATAAGAACATGTGGAAATACATGGATTAGTGGTTGTGGGTTAATAATTATGACAGAGCTAGCCAATAAGAAGCCCAAGTCAATGGCCAACAGTATTATAACCAATATAGCATTTGTGTGTTCATTTGGGGCTCAAGGGCCAGGGGAACTGCTGGACCAGAAAGCTCACATAACATCATTTCTCCAGATCCTTGTTCTATATTTTTAAGATTATCATTTTAATTCGTTAGAGTTTTTCTTAAAAATTGTTTCCTCAATTTGATCAAAGAACTTTATATCTCCCTGCTCATAATTATGAAAATAATGCATGCCTTGTCTTAGGGTTTCTACTGCTGTGACAAAACATCATGGCCAAAAGCAACTCCAGGAAGGAAGGGTTTATTTCAGCTTACAGTTCTACATCGCAGTCCATCACTGTGCAAAATGAGAGCAAGAATTCAAACTTGGCAGGACCTGGACAGGGGCATATGCAGAGGCCATGGAGGGGTGCTGCTCTTGGCTTGCTCTCCATGGCTTGTTCAATCTGCTTTCTTATAGCATCCAAGACCACCAGCCCAGAGGTTACATACCTCACCCCCCCCACGCTGTGGGCTGGGCCTCCTATATCGATCATTAATCAAGATAATGGCCCACAGTTTAGACCATAGGCCAGTCTTATGGAGGCAAATTTTTTTCAGTTGTGGATCCCTCTTCTTAGACAACTCTAGCTTTTGCCAAGTTGATATAAACTATCCAGCACATGGATAGTTAACAATACATATAACAATGTATATGTGTGTGCACATGCACTTGTGCCTTGCAGTAGACAGCGGTCTTGGGAAAGCTATGTGAGAATTTACTTTGGGGAACTAGGCTCATTCTATAGCTCAGGTGCAGTTTAGCCACCTCAGTTGGGAGGATTCGCCACATCACCCCATCCTGCTAGCCCCGTGACATGATTGCTGAGCTCTGGACTTCACCAAGACCCACAGAGTATGTAGTTTCTCTGTTCCAGGAATGCTTACCCTTTACCCTGAAGTCCTAACTGGTGTTAATTCTCCAAATGTACTTTCTGCAGAGCAACAGCTTTGTCCTTTGATTTGCAAGGTCTAGGTCACCATTTTCTGTATTCTGTTTTGCCATTTCCTTTAATTGGGGCAAAGTCAACTAAAGATCAATTTATCACAAACCTCTTGATCTTGAAACAATCTTGCCTTCAGGGAAGTGGACTGGCAGGTGGGACAGTGTTCTTCATAGGATGTGTCCTGTAGACAGAAGTTTCTGTCCCACCCAGTCCCGCAGCCATTTAGTCCCAAATAAGCACACAGAGGCGTATATTAATTATAAACTGTTTGGCGATGGTTTGGGCTTCTTGCTGGCTAGCTCTCTTAATTATTAACCCATTTCTATTAATCTGTGTATCTCCATACAGTCTTGGCTTACCGGTGATGCCCAGATCTCTTACTCCCTCACCCTCTGTCTTCCTCTTCTTAGCATTCTCCTAGATTGGTAGCCCCACCCGTATTTCCTGCCTGGCTACATCCTGCCTGTGCATTGGTCAAAATAGCTTTATTCATCAACCAATAAGAGAAACATATTCACAGTATACAGAAGGGCATCTCCCATCATTGTCCTTTTGGAAGTTGTACCACAAGACCCATATCACAGGTGACTTGAAAAGCTCATTGAGCCTCTCTCCCATACCACACACATATGGGTCAGGGACCCTGACAGCTGAAGATCTGGCCATGAGTTCCCTGTGTATTGGAAAGAGTTCTCCAAGGATCCCCACTGGACAGCATTCTGTAGTCGTTTGGAAGTAGGAGAGGTGTCTGTTCCCTTGGAACACATGCTCTCAGGTTCGTAATAGCACACTCCAGCTGTGAGCCCTGTGCTTCCAGAAACAGCAGCTTCCTGTCCTTTGTGGCTGCAGGGGATCTCTCGGATTCACACTGCCCTTAGTGTCCAGAGTTCCAAACACAGACAAGACACTAAACACCGAAACTATTTGATATTCCCTCTGTCCTTTGTCCTTGGGTAGGTCCATTTTGTTCCCAGAAAGGAGCAAATACCATTTCTTGTTTGTTTTGCAAATTGGCCAGGGTCTTGCTGTTCCAGCGATAGGACTAAACTCCTTGTTGCAGTGTCCTGTTTTGGGCTAGCAACAGGCAGAGTGATAAGAGGAGGAGAAATCATGGCATTTCCAATATCTGGCCTTTCTCCAGGGGCACTGGCAGCTTGGAGGGATGGGGAGAAAAAGAGGAGACACAGGCACACAGGGACACAGAGCACACAGGGACAGGGCCTGCAGAGTCACCCATCAAGGCTTTAGGGGTCGTATCTAAACCTTACTACAGGAGTCACACAGCCAAGGCTGCTTCAGATTTGACAGAGCCTTGTTGAGGCTTGGGTTTAGGGTTGGAAGAAGACCTTGACGAGAGCCTATCCTAACAGGGGCGGGGAAGGGGCTAAGAAGGAAGGGGCGGGGCCACGAAGAGAGGGAGGGACTCACTACCTGCCTGCTGGGGCTCTCTGTGTACCAGGGTAGTCACAGTCACAGTCCTCCGAGGCCAGACAGCACCAGCACCATGCCCATGATACTGGGTTACTGGGATATCCGTGGGGTGAGAGAGAGGGGTCTGACAGCCCAGTGTGATGGGGACGCGGGGCGGGAACGTGCTGCTGAGTAGTTGGGAGCTGGTCTAGGAAACGGATCCTCCTTGTAAGGCCTTCTGGATTCAGCCTGTACTTCTTAGAGCTCTAGATGTTTGATGCTAGTCTCCTCCCCCCCCCCCGTGTGTGTGTGTGTGTGTGTGTGTGTGTGTGTGTGTACTGTTAGATCAAGTGTAAGGACTCAAATATGGAGAAGAGGTCACATAGTCAGGGGTCCCAGTGCCTTTCTGACCAGCCATGTCTCCTAGTTGTGCCACGCCATCCGCCTGCTCCTGGAGTACACAGACTCAAGCTATGAGGAGAAGAGATACACCATGGGCGACGGTAATGACACCCTTTTGGTCAGATTCTTGCCCAACTTCTGATTGGTGGCCCACAGGAGTCCCTGTGCCTGGCCCCTTGTTGCCCAGACAGATCTGTAGGCCTCTTCCAGCAAGGACTAGAGTCTACACCTTCAAGAAACCCCCTGTGAAGGCAGTTTGGTCTTCCAATGCAGGGCTACGACTTTTCCTCTATTTGTGATTTAGCATTTACCTAAACCTTTTGTAACTCAGATATGCTAAGTTACAGTCCCAAATGTTCTTCACTTCTGTAACCTTGGAATATGCCCCTCAGTGTGAGAGGGGCAGATTCCCTGCCTGGGGGTGGGGGGCGTGCAGGTGGGGGTGAGGTTTGCCTGATTCCTTGATCAGGTTCCTATAGGAGGGTAGGAACTAGGGTGATTTCTTTTTACATTCTCTTGCGCCTACAGCTCCTGATTATGACCAAAGCCAGTGGCTGAATGAGAAGTTCAAGCTGGGCCTGGATTTCCCCAATGTAGGCACAGGGAAGGGGAGGTCTGGGGAGGGCATGGAGTCCTCACCTCATCTCCTCACCAGGCTGAGGGGGTTTGGGTTCAGAGCTTCAGCTCTCCTGCTCCCACTCCTGGTGGCTGCACGGTGTCCTGTGATGGGCTGTGTCCCAGCTCTTCATGTCACCTGTCCCTGCTCTTCCATTCAGTGTGCATTGTGTTCATGGGGAGTTTCCCATGCCAGGCACACTGAGTGCCAGGCCCCACGTCTGCCCTCACCCAGAGAAGGGATGCTGGGACCCCGTCTCTCATCTGATCATCCCTGCTGGTACCCCATCTCTCATCTGATCATCCCTGCTGGTACCCCATCTCTCATCTGATCATCCCTGCTGGTACCCCATCTCTCATCTGATCATCCCTGCTTGTGTTTTCAGCTGCCCTACTTAATTGATGGGTCCCACAAGATCACCCAGAGCAACGCCATCCTGCGCTACATCGCCCGCAAGCACAACCTGTGTGAGTGGGGCTGGCTGCAGGGAGGGGCGTGGGGAGCATCCTCCTTGTCTTGGCTGGGGTGGGATGCTGAGGATGAGTCTCTGCTGTGTGTGCTGCAGGTGGGGAGACAGAGGAGGAGAGGATTCGTGTGGACATTGTGGAGAACCAGACTATGGACACCCGCATGCAGCTTGTGATGGTCTGCTACAGCCCTGAGTTTGTGAGTCCCTTAATGGATGGGGAAGACAGAGTTAGGAGTTAAAGTCCTATGTTCATGTCAACATTGGTCAAGTCTAGTAGTACTGATTCTCTAAGGACTTATTTATCCGAGCAACAAAGCGGCCTTCTTGACTCCATAATCTTGCCAAGTAACTACTGTGAGCCAGTTTCCTAGGATACAGTTTGGATTCATCACACTAGAAATGCAGGTTTTTAACATTAGAGTATGTATTCAGAGTCCTTTTCATCTCCTTTAATTTCTGTAGGCCTTCTGTCCCAACTATTCATGTCATCTTGTCTGCTCCTAGAATATGAGTTAAAATAAAGAGGGGGGGTTGTTATGTACCAGGGTCCCAGATATCTCTCAGAGCTCAGCTATCTCTCCCTCCAGAACTGTGTCCTCAGTAGTCGCAGGGATCAGGACTGCTTCCCAACAGGCAGCTCGGGGGTTGGCCAGAGGGACAATGTCCATGCCATTCATCCTTTCAACATCAAACATTCCTTCACTGTTTTATAAAAAAGACTCAAATATCACTGCTCTGTCATCCACTAGGAAGAGTTTGTCTTCTCCCCTGGGATCTTTTAGTGTTTTGTTTCTTTGATGGCACCAGCCATTTGAGTCCAGAGTGTGCCAGGTACATAGGCCACCACTTCCCCCTCCCATCCCAGGAGAAACGGAAGACAGAGTACTTGGAGGGTCTCCCTGAGAAGATGAAGCTCTACTCTGAGTTCCTGGGAAAGCGGCCATGGTTTGCAGGGGACAAGGTAAAGAGGGAGGTTGGTGGGGAGAAGGAGTTGCCATTCTTCCCAAGTTAGCAGAGCCCATTCCACCGACCCTCGCTTCCTGCAGATCACCTATGTGGATTTCCTCGCTTATGATGTCCTTGGCCAGCATCAACTGTTTGAGCCCAAGTGCCTGGATGCGTTTCCCAACCTGAAGGACTTTGTGGCCCGCTTTGAGGTGATGCTCTGATCCTCCTTCCTCTTGGATGCCCTCCCCTTCCCCCTTTCCAGGATGATTTCCTAATCTTTTAAATTAAAAGAGTGCTTCCTTCCTTCCTCCCTCCCTCCCTCCCTCTCTCTCTCTCTCTTTCCTTCCTTCCTTCCTTCCTTCTTTCCTCCCCCTCCCTCCTCTCTATTTCTCTCTCTCCCTCTTCCTCTCTCACTCTCTCCCCGTATCTCCCCCCACCCCAGGTCTGGAATCTGCGTTCCCTTTAGCTCTGTTTCTGATCCAAGTTGAATGGCTTTGGGGATTATGTAAGAGCTGGCATCACCACAGGGAAAGGGGGAAGGGAGAGTTAAAAGCTGCTGCCTGAGGCCTGGTGCTCCGGCCTGTTGCAAATAGGTAGTACTGGGTTTTAGAATCCCTCAGCAGTTAGTTATCTGGGAACCCAGTCTTAGTAAAATTCACGGAGAGTGACTGAATTTGTCGTGGTCCCTGTATTAGAGCTAGAGATGAGTTTGATTGAGGTATTGTAATATTGGACTCAGGTGCCAGGTGGAGAAATTTGGACTGGCTTCCCTCTGGGAACAGATCAGAATCCTGCCCTGCTTTCCTGGTGGGCCTCCCTCCATCTTAGATATTCCCACCCAGGATTTGCTGAGTCATGGGTGAGAGCTGGGCTCTTTTTCAAGCTATCCCAGCATGGCATGCTCTGTGAACTTCCTTTTTCCCTCCTGGCTCCTTCCTCCCCATGCAAATGCAAGCAGGAGCTTCCCTGTGAGGAAAGAACAGGCCTGTGCAAACAGTGACAGGGCTGTGTGGATAGAAGGGAGTTACTGAACCTCTCTGGACTTCGGGTTCCCTCATGATAATTGATCAGTTAGGACTGATGTTGCAGGATCATTGGGTGGTTTTTGTAAACCTGTGATGCACTGTCTAGAGGACAGCAAACCCTCAGGGTTTCTCCATTCGATGTCCCTCTTAAGGTAGGACACTAGGGAAGGACACTCTTTCAGAGCTGAGGTTGACTGTTCTGCTCCGAATCTTGGGCCCATGTGGGTTCCATGGGGTGGAACTGGTCAGCCCTATGAGCCTATAGACCTGAACTCTGCTTTCTCCTTCCCACTTACAGGCCCTGAAGAAGATCTCTGCCTACATCAAATCCAGCCGCTTCCTTTCAAGGCCATTGTATTTGAAGAAAGCCAAGTGGGGTAACAAGTAGGACCCCTTAATACCAGGGTCAGGAGGAGATCAATGGCTGTGCTTGCTGGCCCTTGGCCTGGGGTCCCTATACCTCTGTGTCAGCCTTCCCATTCCTTCTCTTCCATTCTAGTCCTCTCTGAAAGGCCTTAGCGACCCCCCTTTCCACTGACCCTCTCCCAAGTCATGCTCTGTGACTCCGTGTCCCCATTCCTTCAGAGCCCCTTCCCCCCTTCCTTGTCTTTGCCCTGGATCCAAGTAGCTCGAAGCTTTGCTGAGGGTAATGAAGGGATGCATGTGGCGCTGTGGCTCCCCGGCACTTCCAGAGAAACCAGTCCTGCCTATGTTCACGACTGCCTATGTGAGGCTGCCCAGCATCGTCAAAGAGACCAGTTCCTTAATTTGTAGACCCTAGTCCCCCAATATGGGACTGTCCAGCCCTGGTTGATCCCCAGTAAAGTCTGAAGCACATTTGCTCTGTGTCCTCTTGCCTGTGGCTCTCAGAACTGCATTGACTTGCCTGGGTGGTCATTGTTTTGTTGTTCAAGGAAGGGGCAGGTGTGTGTGTTGGGGGGGGGGTGTGCATGCACTTGTGGGCGTGTGTGCCTGTGTGTATGAGAGAGATAGAGAGATGGTCATGCCAAGTATAAGAGTGTTTGGGTCTTAATTCTACATTGTCTGCCCTGGGATTCCTATAGGAGGAATATAGCAGTCCCTGGGCCTCCTCCACAGAAATGTGCAGAGATTCTGGGCTGATGGGAGGGGGCTCCATTAGGCTAAGCACCTTTTATTTCTATCTGCCAGAAGCTTTCCCTAAGCTAGACACCTCCCCTCCTATTCTTGGAATGTTTCCCCATAAACGTTCCCCACCGCTTGCAGTTTGTGTCTGGAGTATTTTACCGAACTCCATCCTAAGTCCCGTTGGACTTTTTCATTTCTGATATGTATGAGAGAAACTGGCCCACTGTCATTACTCCTGCAATTCAGAAACTGTAAAGCACTGTGCTCAGCAATGCTTGTGCCTAACTATGCAGCCAGCAACATTGTTTAGCACTCGGAATTAGCCTGAGGAGGTGTAGTATGAGATGCAGAGTTCCCACATTCAGAGTCTCTCCCCATCCAGGGATTTAAGAGGCTCTCCAGCTGCCCTTGGAAGAGCATGGTCTGAGATGGGGCAGGCCTGGTTTGCTGGGCTGCAACACAGCAGGGTGTAATCATCTGTGTCATGGTATTTCGTATCAGCTCGTACACAAAGGAACTAGACTCATTGGAGAAGCATCCGCTGAAGAGGCTCCTGTGTCAGATGGTAGACTGTGGATTCTGACCTTGGTCAGCACTGCCTGTAATAGGGAGTAGATCTGGAGGAGGTCCCTGATGGACATTGTTCACTGCCAGTTGCCAGAAGTTATCTGCTGTTGTTAAGAAACTAAGGACTGTAGGCAACTTGTGAGGTTATTGCAAAATAAATGAGTCATTAAAATTATGTAACTATCCATGTATGATGGTGCACGCTTTTCATCCTAGTACCCACAAGACAGAGGCAGGGGAATCTATGTGAGTTTAAGGCCAGCTTTGTCTACATAATGAATTCTAAGCCAGCTTGTGCTGCATAGAGTGATTTGGTCTCTTGGTATTAATAAACAAACAAACAAAAAAACAAAAAAACCTAGTAATATCAAAGTCCAGAGATGCTCAAAATTTGTGAAACTTGTAAGATCAAAATCAGTTAGGCTATAGGTTTATTAAACTTTAGAGATAAATGAAATTTTAAAAGGAAACAGGATTAGGTTATAAGGCAGTAGTAGAGCATTTACCCAGCATGCACAAGAGCTTCAAAAAATAAAATAAAATGAAAAAAAAAAAAAGCAATGAAAGTTAGGAGTGACAATATAATAAAAGTAAAGTAGAAAGAGTACAATATTAGTCTATACTTCAGTACACATGGGTTTAAAAAAGACTTACAAACACTCGACTCACAGGCTAATATTGTGGGTGGATTAGAATATAGTGTCCTTCACACACTTCGTCTCTGCCTCGTTCCTGTAGAAGCAGCCATAGGCTGTGCTGAGTCCAGCATGACTTTCTTTACAAACACAGATGGTCACCACCACAGCAAAAAGCAACTATCACCATTCAAAAGTGGGCAGAACTTGAACATCTGTTTCTCTTAAAAAAGATAGGCAAATGGTAGGAAGCATTCAGAAAAATCACAACTAGAGAAAGGTGCAGCTAAACTGTAATGAGGTTCTACTTCATGCACTTTACGATGGTTACATTGACAATTTTTAAACATTAAATACTTGGTGAGGGTGTGGAGGCATTAATGCCTTTCCCATCATGGGTGGGAATGTATAGTGGTGGTTCCTCAGAAGATTAAAAGTAGAGAAAGATAGAATAAGATACCTGCTTAGTGTGACTCCAGTAGTCATCTCTCTGAAGACAGACCTTGTGTAATACAGTTTAGCGGTAGGTCCCATGGTGGATGCGGGACACATGGCAGGTGGGAGACAGACAGAGACCTACAGAAATGACTCATGTGGAGAGTTTATTGGGGAGAAGGTAAGGGAGTAAGGAAAGGGAAGAGAGAAGAGAGAGACAAAGAGATAGACAGAGACAGAGAGACAGACATCTGCCTCCTCAGAGAAACAACAGAAAGAGAGAGAAAGTGGGCCAATTTTTTCTCTTAAAGGAAACTCTACACTTGCCTGTAGAGCCAGGGCATTGCTTTGCCACATGCCCAAGGGGTGGGGCCAGGTTTGCATGGATTATTACCATACCCACCGACAGGGTTACACTGTTCACAGAGCTAAGAAAGCCAGGTGAACCATGGACATATCTACAATCTCAACACTTGGGAAGCTGAGGCAGGGATATCCTAAGTTCCCAGCCAGCTTGAACTGCATAACAAGACCCTGTCCCCAGTCCCTGCCGAAATACCAGAGCCACGTGAGATGTCACAGTGGCTGGGTTTGTTATGTGGAAAAGAAAAGACACATTGAAAAATACAGGAAGGATAGAATTGCCATTGCCTGCCTTTCCCCAGCTCCAGGAGAGAAAAGTACAAAGTTAGGGATTTAGATTTAAAACCAGTCCTCAGCAGACTTGCGTACCCCTGCCCCAAGGCCAGATTCTGCAGACTGAGCCACTGAACTGTGTTAGCTAGGGTGCAAAGTGACTGCCTTTGCCATGCTCCTTCAGCTAGAGTATAGAGGGAAGCAATATTCCATTCTGTGGGGAGCAGGGTACATATGGCTTTGCCTTAGAGTTTGGTGTTGGACCTGTTCTGATGAGCCCCAGCAACAGGCAAAAGCTGTAGGTCCCTAGCCCAGGAAACAGTTCCCAGAGAGCTCTTCTATGTCCACTCTGGCTCCAGGCAGAGAGCTGTGTGCTGGTGGGATAGGTAGTTTGTCCCTGTGTCATTACTAGTCTCTGAGAGGTCCTAGGGCAACCCCCTCCCTAAGGGTGTGCAGATCACCGGTCACCAATCACAAACCAGCTTAATGTCACCTTTGGAGGTCAAGGGACTTATCTTCGCCCTCATTACTCCTACTCTATGCTGTGGAGCAAGACTCCATTCTCTAGGGCTAGAATAGAGTAGTAAGCGTAGGACTTCATCTTGGAATCAGTGCCAAGCAGGTGAAACCTAACATTGAACAGGTCCTAGTGTCCCCCATCTGGAACAGCTTTAGTGGCAGACATCAGTTTGTGACTTTTGCCCTGGCCAGCATCGCCTGTGGCGGTAGGAATCTTTTGCCTTCAGCTCACTTCAGCTGTGGCCTTGGTCCTGTCCCAGGGTTGTGTTCAGCAGGGTCTCAGTGTGGCACAGCATTGCCAGAGTGTAATCCAGACCCACACAGAATCTTACAGTGTCTGACTATAGGTTGGTGGCTCTGAATAAGGCATCTGGGTATACCCTGGCTCCAGAAAGAGGCTCGCGGGGAAGGGCTCTTCATTCCAAGGCCCTTCTCTAGTTCATGCTACAGATTTGGGATAAATCTTATCTTTGATCTTTCTCCAGCAGTCTACCAACAGCAACACATCACCGGCAACATCACAAAACCCCCTGAACTTTGGTCTATTGCCGAAATAATGGGAGTGTCTATAGGCTCAGAGAGGACTGGGGAGAAACATCGAACTTTGAGTTTCTGGGAATGTTTACACAAACAAAGCCAGGTTTCAAACTCTAGAATAATACATAAACCTTTAGTGTTCAGAGGCTACCACCGAGCAGCAAGCATCAAGAATTTTAGGAAGCCATGAAGCCACCTAACATTCAAGGTAAAATTCTAGAAACCAACCATATAGCAACTAGTTTAAGGGAACTCTTCGATAGAAAATGTAAAACAGCCACTTTAAGGACATGAAACAAACTTAAAGAGAACAAAGAGAAATGACACTCTAAAAGGGAAATTTAACAGAAATGTAAGTGATAAATTCTAAAACAAAAAAAGAGTAATCTTTGAGCTAAAAAGAGAGACAATTTTTTAGATGTAAGAAAAGGCATCAATCAGTGTCAGAATAGGGCAAAGATAAAGTATTAGTGAACTTAAGAGAACAAAGAAGAGAAAAGAAAATGTACAGGGCCTTTGGGACAGCATTACAAGAGTATTTGAATTGTTGGGGTTCAAGAGATGCTTAACCATGACAAAGGTTTAGAACCCTTGAAGAGATAGTGGCATAAAATTCCCAAACCTAAACAGGAACACACATCCAATGTGAGGAGATCAGAGAGCACTCATGGGGCCCCTGAGGTGGGTCAGTGGGTCAGGGCACTTGCTGCTAAGACTGACAACCTGAGTCAGTCCCCCAGCCCCCATAAGAAAAGACTTATTCCCAGATGAGCAAAGCTTGAGAGAACACATCCCTCAGATTTTACTAGATTTGTCTAACCAGAATTTCCAAAGGGAGTTCTTCAAATTAAAGAAAAGATATGTTAATAAGCAAAAAGAAAACACTAAAGGATTGTGCTGGCTAGTTTTATGTTAACTTTACACAAGCTAGAGTCACCAGAGAGGAGGAGCCTCAATTGACAAAATGCCTCCATAAGATGGGGTAGACAAGCCTATAGGTCATTTTTTTCTTTTCTTTCTTTCTTTTTTTCCCCTTCCCCCCACCCCAAGACAGGGTTTCTCTGTGGCTTTGGAGGCCGTCCTGGAACTCACTCTGTAGACCAGGCTGATCTCGAACTCACAGAGATCCGCCTGCCTCAGCCTCCCAAGTGTTGGGATTAATGGTGTGTGCCACCACTGCTTGGCTGTAATTTTTTTAATTAGTGTTTGATGTGCCCATTATGGATAGTGTCACCTGCTCTGGTGGTCCCAGGTTCTATAAGAAAGTAGGCTGAACAAGCAATGGGAAGCAACTCAGCAAGCAGCACCCCCCCCCACACACACACAGGCACCATGGTCTCTGCTTCAGCTCCTGGCTTCAGGTTCCTGCCCTGCTTGAGTTCCTGGCCTCATTGCTTTTGATG